CTTCGGTGGGCGTATCCCCGCAGAGCTACCAGTCCACAATACGAAAGTTGATCAGTTGCAATCGCAGAGGTGGACCAACCGAGGGCGTTTCTCGTTCGCTGTAGCATAGGGGGTACGCGAGGTAATACGCCTCTATCGAACCGATACGCGAACCAGCATCTTGGGGGGATGAGGTCCCAAGCGCGACTCGTCGTCGGTCGACTAGGACGCATCTCACACGCCACGCGCACACCACTATAAAGAACATAAAAAAAATAAACACACACACACACGCGCACATACATATACATATACAGAACGACACTGAACAAACAACGCGACAACACTCCTGGTCCCTTAGTAGCCATCCCATAACTCTCCGATGCAGAAATCGGATAGGCGTCGCGCGTGAGACTTAGTATAAAACCGCGCGGACGCAGGGCTAACTCATATCGACTAGCAATGCAAGAATTCGCAAGCAGTCGCAATGATGGCGGACTATGTAGTGCCCATAATCAAGCGGTTCCTCGTGGATCCGAGTACCGCGTATGACACTCAAGTGTCAGACTCGAAATATCGTGAAGGCTTACCCCTTCACGATATTGCATGGCTGAAGGAATAGCCGTGCGGCCTCCGCGGCACCTCCGGCCTTTAGGCTGAGTGTCTCGGTAGGCAGGGCAAATAGGCTCTGCGCGGGGGGAGATCCCTTCCATGCAGAGTCTAGGGCCTGGGATGTCCTGGACAAGGACCCCGAATCCTGGCCGAGGACCAACGTCCGACTAAGAAATCTTTAAGAAATATACACCAAATAGAGGGGTTTTCTTTCCTTTCTCACTCTCAACCCCCAATTAAGCCCTTAAGCGTGGGCCCTCTCAGGCCGCGCGAACACCCAACATAGGTACATACGTATATATGTGAAAAGGGGAATAAGTATGTGACGATAACTTCTCACAATCACAGTGGGACTCCTCACAGCCATATATATGTGTGTGATCGCAGACAGTCAAATCCAAAATCCAGGCCACAGAACATATCTGTAATCACATCAAAGAATCAACCAAAAGTCCACACACTACACAGTGTCAACTTCAGCCAACCTCTATACTCGTACCCCTTGCTTCAGCCATGCAAACGCCAGCCCTTGTCCAACCAACCATAATTAAATACTCAGTACCTTTGTTAAATGGCCATTCAATAAAAGTCCGGGTGAAAACCTTAATAAAACAATAAAAATCATCAGGGCTAAAGCCTTTTAGGTTGAGCATTGAGGGTGAATTGAAGTTGACTCGTAGGCCGACGAATCGGCAACCAACCTGTTATCAGTGACAACAGAAGGTGATCCTTACAGGATCAAGCTGAATCTAGTCCTGACTTTGAATCAGACGTTCAAGAGGACCTGTAACACAAGACAGACCAATCCCTAGCTAAATCTATGAGTCGAAATCGAGAGTATCCCCCATATCACGCTTTCATCAAGAATCATTCTGCTTGGTTAATCCTGAGTCTATCCCTAAGTCAGTGCCTAATGAAAAGGTAGATCTTTGGCAGAATCTCCTCTATGCAGAGTGGATTGCCAGCATTGCCACCTGTCAAAATATAATCTAACTCCTCTAAACTAAGAAAATTTCGGCAGCGCTTCCTGTAGGAAAAGTGCATTTCCAGAATTTATAATAACTCAAATATGAAAACAAAAAACAAATTCTAATTCTGGAAAGTCAATTTTGTTTGACTCCCTGAATTAGTGAAAATTTGGGCAGCCTCTCCTTTAGAAGGGTAGACTTCCTAAATTTATACTAAGCCAGATAGGAACTCAAAAGCTAGACTTGAGTTCGACTTTAAGACAAAATTTAACTAACTTCCTTAGATTTATAGAAGTTTCGGCAGCGCTTCCCGTCGAGAAAGTGCTATTCCAAGATTTATACAAAGCTAAGTTCAAAATCTAAAGTGACTTTGACTTCTCAAGGTCTAGTTTTGTCTAACGCCCTGAAATAGCAAAAAATTGGGCAGCACTCCCTTCAGAAAAGGAGGTGTTCCAGACTTTTACTAAGCCAAAGAGTAAAAAAAAACGGACCTTGAAAAAGACAAAATCTGACTAACTCCTTGGTTTTGCAGAAATTTCGGCAGCGCTTCCCGTAGAGAAAGTGACTTTCCAAGATTTGTACAAGACCAAGGATAATAATTAATCCCAGAAAATGCAGAAATTGATCTAAGTAAAAAAAACTTAGCTAAAAAAATGTAAGAATTGAAACTAACTCCTATGGCTCTAGCACGTGGTGAGCAACTAAAGCAACTACCTATCAAACTGAAACTCCTAAGTAGTAGTCGCACTTAGTGACATGCAGGCTAAACCACAAAGGTAAGTACTCTCACAAACCCAAATCACCTTTGGCAAATAATATTTCAGTCTTTCAGTGATTTATCCCTTTATACCCAGCTTACATAGGGCATCGAGTTAGGCCATTCGTCTTAGAAACAATGCCAACCCTTTGCCTTAGTTATACACGAACCGGTTGCACAACTACTCTCTTCATTGGGCATACGAATAAGCCATTCATCTTAGAAACAATGCTTAGTCGCCCTGATCTGTTTAATGTTATGTTACCAGTTGTCCGATGGCAGGACGTCCTGGGCGGACAGTCAGGGGGGTCCCGGACGTCCGGGCCCGGACAACTCCATTTTTAGCAATTAAATGCACGAAAAAAATAAAAAAAAATTGGGTGTCTTTAATTTTATTTTTTATTTTAAAATTGACAACGAATTTCGATATCATCCCAAGGCAAAAGTTGTTCAATTTATGTTTCTGCATAACATAGTTTTTTTTCGGATGTTTTGGAGGACATTTTTTTTTTTTTTTTTTTTTTTTTGTCGTTCGGGCTCGGACAGTTTGCCAGGGGAGGATGTCCAACCGGTTGTCCGAGCGGACAACCCTGGATGGTCAGGGGGATCCCGGACGTCCGATCAGGTAACCTAGGTTTAATAGCCAATTTATATATATATATCTGAACTTAATCTTCAAAGTGGGCGTAAAACTGAGTCATTCGCCTTAGAAATAATGCATTTTTTTTTTATTATTATTTTTTGCCGTTCGGGCTCGGACAGTTTGCCAGGGGGGGATGTCCAACCGGTTGTCCGAGCGGACAACCCTGGATGGTCAGGGGGATCTCGGACGTCCGATCAGGTAACCTAGGTTTAATAGCCAATTTATATATATATATCTAAACTTAATCTTCAAAGTGGGCGTAAAACTGAGTCATTCGCCTTAGAAATAATGCTCAGCTGACCCAAGTTACCTTTAGTTATAGCTCTTAGTTATACTTTCTTAATCTGTGATAAGGCTATAGTCAGACCATTAGTCTTAGAAACAATGTCTGGCTAGCCTTTTTCTCATAAACATATATATAGAATTACATAAAATCTTATTCCTTTGTTCATATTATAATCCTGTGGCCTCAGACTTATAGACCATTCGTCTTAGGAACAATGCCTAGTCTTTGGCCTGAACCTCCCTCAGAATAAAACAACCAAAAACGCCGTGACTTGCGTGGGTTGCGACTTCCTCTGAACGCGTGACCCCAAGCCAACGCGTACCATAAAGTCTTGGCTCATATAGTTGCGAGTAACAATCGATCAATACTCCGGCGTCCATCAACGGAGCTAGTACTGCAGTGTGCAAGTAATCCCGCAATTGTGCCATGAGCACGTTGCAATGCGGTTTCGGCAATTGACCGGTCGGGGGAAGGGGTATTCATTGGAAGTCCGCGAGCGTCAACGGGTCGAGTCTCTCAAGTCTTGACCATGACGTCGAATCCCCGACGAAAGTTGGCGACGAAGCTGCCGAATCGGTTGCCGATGGTGGTGAAACCGTGCATGTGGTGGATTGTTGCTCGTGGAGTGGCTGGTCCAACGGTGGGACCAAGTGGACAGCGTAATCCTCGTTAGTGAACTGAGGACTCGCGACATCCGCATTCTCCACAGATGTGTAGGAGGCCGCTAGCAAGGTGGCTGAATCTCGCGGAGTGAGAGGTGGAGTGGGCCTCACCTCCAGCGCAGCTCAGTTTCCCGAGCTGATTCGAGGTCGAACATCCTCCTTGCCTTGATCTTGGCATTGGGAAGTCTTATGTTTTGTGTTGTTGCCCCAATAGCAGCAGCCGTATCGGCTGCGGTACTTGTATTCGGCCTCTGTGAAGTTGAACTTGACCCATGGTACTGGCTGTCCATTTCCGGCCGGCGATGTGATTTTTGCCTTCCCTTTTCCATGGGAGTTGTCGTTGCTTCCCAGCTGGACAGCGGCCACCTCATCTCCCTCACGTGATGCTGGGGTGGCTGTCGGGTCTTCCACAATGTTGTCCGGTTGAATTGCAGCGACGGCCTACAGACACGGACCAAATTTTCCTTTCTCCACATGGGTTGGCTGCCATGTTGACTTCTCGTGTGCAGCAGCCCCGTTGGTCTTGATGATCTCCCGCGCCTTGTCGATGATTTCGGTGAAGGTCGTGTACTGCTCGCGATCACCGAGTGCGAGGCTCAAGGCGGCACACGACCGGTTGTAGAACTCCCGACGCAAATGCGGAAATGGCAAGTCGAGATCGGGTGTTGCCACAAAATTTTGCCACTCCGTGAGCCAGTCGTGTGTTGGTGTTGCCTTGAGTCATGCTGAAGAGGTGGTTAATGGCGAGCGCCGGGGCGTCGTCAACAATGAACCACTTCTTTCATTCTCTCGTCAGATCTTCCCAGGAGATCTTCTTGTATACTTCGGAGACCTAAACACCATGGATGGTTGCCATTTGGCTGAGCCAGATCTGGCATCCGCCCTTGACGTTGAGGAACAGTGTCGAGATGTACAAGTGCTTGGGGATGTCATGAATCCCAATCTCTGTTGTAAAACCTTGCCACCAGACGATTGGGTCCTGATGCGTGTAGTCGTCAAACTTCTCGATCCGGAACGTCGGCATCTTGTACGGTCGGGTTGCACTGGTGCTGCCATCGTTGTCGGGAGGCTGGTGTAGCTGCCTGAGCTTGGTCTTCAAGGTGCTGAGCTGCTCGCTGACGGTGGCTGGTGCGGCGAAGGTGCTGATGTCTCCTAGCATTGCAACTACATGGTCCACTCATTGCTCCAGCTGGCGATTAGAGGCTGCATTGCTGGGTTCCCCAGCATCTGGGCTTGGTGCCGCTTGCTCCAAGTCCTGTACACGGGCATGAAGTGGCCGTGTAGCACCCTCGTGCAGATCCTTGTGGTTCCGAACTGCCTGTCGGATGTTCGTCAGTTCGGACTTCAGGTGGTTACAAGTGTAAACCAACCGTGTCACGAGTTTGGAGAAAAACTCCTTGTGCTGCTCTTCCGGTGTCGCGTCGTCGTGGCCCTCGGATGGTTCAAAGTGCCAGAACTTGAGCCCGTCGACGCTGGCGGCTTCATGCCGCTGCAGCAGATCCTGGGCCTCCTTGCGGCAGACCTGGGCATCTGCGTCAGCTACGTCCTGAAGCCGCTGCTTTTCAGCTGCTACCTCTGCTTCAGCCTGTAGGCGGGCAGCCTCGGCTGCCGCCTGGCGCTGTTCCTCAGCTTCGATCAGTCCGAGTTGAGCTTGGAAATGCTGTCAGTACTTGGCAATGGACTCGTTGGCCAGTTGGCCTGGCATGCCCAAAGCTGAAACCGTCATGGTTGCGGGCCACTGCTGACGTTGGTGCTGCTGCTGACGTGGCACTGCTACTGTCGTGGCACTGCTGCTGTCGTGGCGCTGCTGACGGGGCACTGCTGCTGACGTGGCACTTACCAAACCGGGAATGCAGGCAAGGGGCTGGGTGGGAGGGAAACGCAGGAAGGTAACCAAACTGCACTTTCCATTCCCGGTCCTAATCAACAGAATAAAATAAAATAAAAAAATAAAAGAAGAGGATCTCTCCCCCCCCGTTTTTTTTTTTTTTTTAATATCTGTCGATCGGCTATGAGTGAGGCATTACGGAGGAGGGCTATGAGCGAGATCTAGGAAAGGTTTCACAAAGTTTCGGCTTTCTGAAAAAATGGGATCTTGAAAAAAAAAATTGCGGGAAATAGCATGGAGGTTTCACTTTCAGAGAAGAATAGATCTAGTTTCCGAGAATATGACAACCTCACTATAGTGAGGGGGAGATTCAGACATTGATTCTGGTTCAGTCATTCATTGTCATTGTTCTTATCTGTACTCCTTGGCCTGGACCCATGCGAAGCCCGGGCTGTTGTGGCACTGGGTGCCGTGGTGGAGCATTCCGTTTTCGGGGACACTGTTTTGTCATTTACCACATCCTGTTGTTGGTCACACTGATCCGCTCCGTGGGGCTGCTCATGTTCGGGTACAAGTACTTAGTGAGGCTGACTGGATGGAAAGGACGGGTGTTAGTGAGCTATCACATACCGTAATGGTACAGACCAGAACAAGAACCGACCACTCTCACATAGTACAGGACAGCGCCGAGGAAGGCTAAAATACCAATGATCAGACCAATCAATGTCGCAATGCAGACCAAACATACATCATCATCATCGCATGGGGTGAAGGGACCTGGCGCTCACACAGGAAGAATGCGCCAGTCCCAAACATACACAGACGAGGAGGAGGGGGATCAGACGAAGAGGAATGTCATCAACACCAAGTCTTCGATATAGACCCCAAATAATCCCTCGTCCAATGTTTCGGTCCCAATGTCGAGTCTGAATCCAAATGTCGTCAAATCTCAAAGCCGCAAATCTCTCTCTCTCTCTCTCGTAGTCTGTGGAGGCTGAGAAGTCAGATAGCGAGAGGGGGAGGGCGAGATGGTGACCTTAGAGGAGGAAGAAGAAGAGCTCTCTCTCTCTCTCTCTCTCTCTCTCTCTCTCTCTCTCTCTCTCTCTCTCTCTCTCTCTCTTGTACCAAGTACTAACCTGTGAAGGTGGCGCCTTGGGGCAGGTACATCGAAGACGAAGCTGGAGCTATGGCGCCACAGGTAAGTCTCCCTGGCCTCCGCGTTCTCTCTCTCTCTCAACGCTAGCGCCCAGCGCTGAAGACTACTCTAGCGCTATCTGCTACTACTGCAGCGCCCCTCCTGCGTGCTGCGGCCGACTCCTGAGACTGCCTCCTGAACTGCACGTGAAGTGCCTGTGAACTCCTCATGAACTACCTGCAGCCTGTAGGGCGGACCAGTACTATATAGTGCTGGTCCGGCCGGTAGGCTGCTCTTGCCAATGCCGAAATGTGCCAGACCCTGGCGCTGAAGTTCAAACAAAGGTTGTCTTGAAACGGGCCTAAAAGTGGCCTGTGCTGATCCCTGGTCTGGCGCCTGAGTTTCAGGAAAGGTCGACTTTATGAGGGCCTGAAAATGGCCCTCTTTTTCAGGCTTTTAGGCTGAAATGACACAGGGCCTGGAGGGCCCTTATTTTCCGTCTGGTCGGGCACTGCAGGCCCGTGTGAATGCTCAGTATGCCACAGCACGACTCGATGTTAAGAAGCATATGTTAGTGACTTGGTCATAAGCTTGAATCCGGGGGAGAGAGAAGGGGACAGAACATCAAAGCCAAAAACAAGTCCGTCACGTTCGTCAAGGTAGTACTTTTAAGGACTCTACATAGGCAGGCCTGTACCTCCTCGGTCCAGAGGTTGTTAGATTTTATCTTCAGAGCCTGCAGGTCGAGGAGGGCTGTGTGCGAGTACCATTTCAGGCTGGCCTCGTGCTAGGAGTTAAAGAAAATGAGTACTTCCCACTGCGCCAATTTGGATGTGGTGTTCATGGGCTTCCCTTGCGTCCCCAGTACATAGTGGTTCTCAATATACTTGTTTATCTACTCTGTCTGTATACTTTCCCTCATCTGTAGCGGCATTCCAGAGAAGAGGAGGGAGTCGAAACCTGCTGATGGTTACCCCCCCCCTACTTCGCCTGTGATTGTGCCGTGGACAGCCTGATCTCCCACCTCCCCTTCCCTCTTCCTTAGTTGCGGCATCACCACTCCATTCAGTGTGGGGTGCTCCTGGTACTTCCCTTTTTCCATGGAATTCCTCAGCTTACTACACTTGTCCAACTGGCGCTGTACCCCTGTAATAACCTGCAAAATTAAAGATTGTGAAACATGTGCTTCTCTAAGTTTTTGCCGCTGTTTCGTGTTCTTGCTTGTGTTCGGGCCATCTGAACCTTTGTGCCATGTTTATGTATGGCTGTCTGAGTGCCTATGTATGCGTGCAGGCAGCTGTGAGTGTAGGTTGCTGTGAATAAGGCCTATGGACCTGGCACTACTGCTGTGGCCATGTGTGTTTGGGATGCAGTGGGTAGGTTAGAGGGAAATGAGGCCCACGGAGGCCAGAATCAAGTAGCAGCGGGCAGAAACTAGAAAGGCTTGGGTAGGCCAGGGTAGCACCTTGGAGGCCGGTAGGTCTCAGCGGGTAGGTTCTAGAGCTACTGGCCTGGAAACACCGGTAAGTAGGGGCTAGGTCTAGGTCCGCAGATACATATCAGACTGCAATGATGTTCTTGCCAAAAAAGGGGAGGGAAACCGGTAGGACTAGAGGTCGGGTAGCTGATAGTCACCGTGGAGGAGTCCAGAGGCCAAGTATATCAATAGAGGCAGAGCTGGATTCCACCTCATTCTTGGGGTGGGCAAGCCATGAGGCTGCTTAAGTGCTCACCAAGCCTGGTGTGGCACTGGGCAGCTGTTGGAGGCGGAGCTGACTCCCACCTTGGCCATGGTGAAAGAAGCCAAGGCGAAGGAAGAAATAGACAAGGCTATGGTGAAGAAGTGAGGAAGACGAAAGAAAAAGGAGGAGGAAGAAGAGGGAGGAGAGTGAAGGCTGTGGATGACATCTCCATCCCCTTGGTTGGCGCTGCACCTGGAAAGGCCCTCGATAGGGTTACAAAGTCAAGAGGCTTGGCAGTGGAAGTGGCAGGGCTAGTAGAGCTTTGCGTTGTCCTCTGAACATCCAGGCTAGGCCTGGATGCCGCCGCCATAGCCGGATGCTCAACGTAGGAGTGGTGGGAGGTGTAGGTGGTCAAAGGTGACTCCATGTGATGTTGGCAGTAAGGGGGAGAATCAGACATTGATACTGGTTCATTCATTCGTTGTTATTGTTGTTCTTATAACGAAGAAGATGTTGGGGGTCATTATGGGGTGGAGAGATGGTGGCAAGTTAAGGGAGGAGTGGCATTGGTTCCAGCTTGTGTTCATACATGGCTATTTGGAAACACGAATGAAGAACCAGGGGTCTCTGCATCACTTTTCTGGCCTCCGTCCTTTCTTGCCAACATTTGTTTTTCATTTGGCTTCATTTGTTTCACTTCTGCTCTATGGATGGGTGATAAGTTCGGTCGAAAAGGTTTTGTGGTTTTCTCTAAATGCCATTCAAGAGACCCCCAAAATAGTTGGGGGGAGTGTTAGTGAGGGGCGAGGGGCGGTGCACCTTCTCTCACTAGTGGTAGACCTGGGTTTGAGAAAGGCATATGTGCCACGTTGTGAACAAAGAACGCGAGTTCAGAACTGTATTCAGCTCCTTTAACCCATGGAATTCCCACACTCTCCTCCATTCAGTGACAAACCAAACTCCAAGAAGTAAGCAGTGTTGAGAAGAAGGGTGCAGAACCACTAATGTAGCCATCCTTGACATGCAAGTAGGGCCCCTTCCCAACATGCCCAGTCCTTCTTCTCAACAACGCAGAAGGGACGGGGAGGTGAAGGGAGGCAGGAAGCGGAAGAAAGAATTGAGAGCGGTCACAGGGAGACGATGAAAGAACAGGAAGAGGAAAAGAGGGAGGTGAAGCAGAGCAACAAGAATGAGAGCACAGTAGTGAAGAACTCCTTACCTGTGATCATCTTGACAACGACACCATACTTCTGTGCTCTCTCAATGGTCTCCTTGGTATCAGGTCGAGGAGGATCAAGGAACGTTAGAATCCCCAGTAGTCGCCACTTGTCCGCTTCATCGGACTGTGCCACAGCAAGACAACGAATACCACGTAGACCAAGCTGTGTAACCTTCTCATTCACCACCGGACCTATCTCGTTCTTGTTATGGCACAGATCCAGGATGATGTGGGGAGCCCCCTTGGTGGTCTTGAATATCTTGCCGTCTGGACTCTTCAGAGTCCCTTCTGTACGCTTTACCTTCGGATTGAATGGCATGTAATCAATCTGTTGATACGCATCAAGGTGGGCAAGATCCACCGATCCTGTGGATGAAGCAAGTGGCAGAATAATGGCCAACAGACTTAGGCAAGGTCTTTGACAGAAAAATGTGGCAATCGCAATCAAGAACCTATCCATTTCAGACTTTATGGACTCTGTGCACAGCGCTCTGTATGCCATTGAAACACACGGCAGTGATTGCTGCATGCATCCTGAGCTGCCATTCCTGAGGGTAGGATGGTGCACCATCCCCGACGACAAGGTCACATGGTGTCAGCACTGCTACCTTACGATATGTTCTTCACCTACAGATCTTTGATGAAGAAATAAGTACACTCTGCCATAGTCTGTCAATTGTTCCATGACATCCAGCAAGACCATTCTTGGTCTCGTCTCCCATTCCCTCTCTCTCTCTCTCTCTCTCTCTCTCTCTCTCTCTCTCTCTCTCTCTCTCTCTCTCTCTGTCTCTGTATACATATCGTCAAAGAGAACTGCCAAGTAAACCGTCGGCAGAGAGGGAGAAGAGGACAACAAAAAAGGGGCTGTGACAAACTGTTTCGTCCGAGTTTCACCGACTAATCAGGAGGCTGAACCATATATATATTCTGTTTGATATATTATATCAAGCATTGAATATGATATCTGATTTCGGTGCGTGCTATCATTCATCACTGCAGTTGGAAGCTACAGCTGATATTTACGACCATGATAAGAAATACCTAGAGACGACACTGAGTAAGCAATCACAATTAGAATGAAAAATCAGGACACACTCCAAGAGGGGTTCTCTGGGCGTTTTCATACAATAAAACATTTCAAGAGTTTCAGTCCGTTGAAAGCAAAAACTGTTCTAGGTGCATTCCACAGGATCTTGACCAACATGTCCAACCAAGAAGACTGCATTGAAGTAATTAAATTATTTTTTACTGAATGCAGAAATTTGGATTACCCCGTCGACGCTTTGAGAAAAAAAAAATTGGCGATCAGGACCAAAATGGATAGGGACATAGCTGCCAAGATAATTCATTGGTTGCAGCATAAGCGGTGCAGTCGGAATAAAAATGGGCTGTTCACGTAGATAAATAAATAAAAAAGCACGATGGAATAAAGAACCTGAGAAATCTCAGCGACCGTGCAGATGACACTAAAACTGGCTCTGAAAATGCAGACTTTTTTTTTTTTTTTTAATAAAGAAGAACACCCCTTTTGTAGCGGTACCCCTATGGACCGGCAGTGAGACCGGACCAGTTTCAGGCCGCCGGCCTGACCCTGGTCCGGTACCAGGTTGTTCCCGTGCCTGGACCCAGGCCGGTATATCACTTCGGCCTAGGCCCAGGTCCAGGCAGGGAGTCAGTTGGTTCATTCATTCTTCATTCACTCAGCTGCTGCTTCTCGTGTGTGTCCATCTCCTCTCTCTCTCTCTCTCTCTCTCTCTCTCTCTCTCTCACACACACACACACACACACACNTCTCCTCTCTCTCTCTCTCTCTCTCTCTCTCTCTCTCTCTCACACACACACACACACACACACACACACACACACACACACACACACCATCACCGCATGTGCCATCTGCATGTGTGCCACATTGGTATCGGAGCGGAGTCTCGACCTCTGCTCCCACCCTCCGGCCCCTCTCCAGTTATCCAGCAATCAGGGCCAGCCATCTCCAAAGCTGGCACATGTAACTGCACCTGGCCGTCAACGTGACCAGGTACATTCTTCAACCAAGCTGGCGTTTTTCATCATCCCCGCCAGCTGCTGCTGCTCTCCTATGGACGTGAGGTGGCGCTGTTGGTGGCATTGGTGCGACTGCACAAAGAACGCCCGAACGCCTGCTCCTCCCACGGATTGAATGGCCCGCTGAAGTGTCTGGATTGCTGGCCGTTCGCAGCTGACGCTTCTGTGAGAAGTTCATCGACCCTGACGCTGCTGTGAGAAGTTCATCGACCCTTATCATTGAAGAAGTCGTAATGAGGTTCCCGTTGGTGAACCTGCGGAAGGATCATTGACACGTGGACGGCCGACCTCTTGCCACGTCAGCACGTCCTCCCCTTCCCGTTCTCCTCCCCTTCCCCTCCCCGATAGCACGCACGTGCGAGGACCCTCTTGACCCCGATTCTCCCACACCCCTGATCCCGACTCTCCCCTGCTACTCCTCTACTCCGCGATCCCGACCCCGACCTTCTCCCACCACGAGTGCCACCATCCCAACCCCCCTACCTTCCCCACTCCCTTTCCCAATCCCGATCCCATTCTCGATTCTCCTCCGATCTTCCCCCTGATCCCATCCCCGTTCCCCACCCGCTGCGCCCCGCCCCGATCCTGACCAATTCCCCAACCCCCCCCCTCTCCTCCACCGATCCCGATCCCGCCTTTCTCCGCTCCCGATTCCAACCCCCCCTGCGCGCTGTCGGAGAGCGGCGCGCCGCGTCAACGTATAGTTGACTCGTCGCGGCCAGCCTCCGCACCGTAGGGCTGCATGTGGTCACAATCAGCAGAATGTTGGCGCGCTGGTTTGGCCCTTGGGTCGAGTCAGCAGGCAAAACGGCGCGACGGTCCAGCCCCATGGAGATCGAATCACGGCTTTTGGGCTGAACCGCCGCGTCTGCAAGGGCCAGATTAGTAGGGCCCGGTTCGAACGGTACTGAAAACGGACCAAGGATTAGTGAAAAAAAATAGAATTGACCACTTGGGACCGGATTTACCGCGTCAGGGAGAGTATGGCCCGAAATGGTCAAGGGGGAATACAGGATTAGGCCCTTGTTAAGATTAAGAGGGGTGTTTCGTTTTCAAAACAAAGCCGACCCTTAGTATTCCAAAGTCGGGCCAGTTCAAGCCCGACACTAATTTAGTACTGGTCCGTGCTATTTTTAGCACAGGCCACACTATTTTTAGCACAGGCCTGAGTTATTTTTAGCGCAGGCTTGCGCTAAATATAGCGCAGGCCCGCGCTATTTTTATCCCAAGCCCCGCGCTAATTTTAGTGCTGTCCCACGCTAGTTTTAGCACAGGCCCGTGCTATATTTAGCACAGGCCCGTGCTATTTTTAACACGGGGGCTGACTGTTCGTGTCCCAAAGTCGGGACTGTCCCAGTCCCGTGCTAATTTTAGCGTAGTCCCACGCTAATTTTAGCACAGGCCCGCGCTATATTT